TCCAAAGAGCAGTCAGGGTTCCCTGCCCTGTGGAAAGTCCAAGGTCCTCCCCCCTCCGTTCATGTCTAGGAAGGTGAACATCCAAACTGGCTAGGTTCCCACCAAGCCAGAACATGAAGTAGGATCAAAACCCCGTGCCATTGTCCTTGGCTTCTCATCAGCCCTCATTGTTCGCCAACATAAAATATCTTGTGCTAAAACAAACCGAAGAAGTGAAAGACCTGTATGAAAAGAACATTACATCGTTGAAGAAAGAAATTGAAGATGATATCAGAAAAATGGAAAGATCTCCCAAGCTCTTGGGTAGGTAGAATCAATATAATAAAACTGTCATCTTATCAAAAACAATCTATAGATTCAATGTAATGTCCATCAAAATTCCAACACAATTCTTCACAGAACAAAAAAGAACAATACTCAACTTCTCAGGGGAAACTAAACATCCAGTATAGCCAAAACAATCCTACACAGCAAAGGAACATTCCAAGGTATCATTATCCCTGACATCAAGCTCTGTTATAGAACTACAATAATGAAAACAGCTTGATGTTGGCATAAAAACAGACAGGTGGACCAATGGAATTGAATAAAAGATCCTGATATTAATCCACACACCTATGAATACCTGAATTTTGACAAAGAAGCTAAAATTATACAATGGAAAAAAGAAGGCATCTTCAACAAATGGTATAATTGGTATAATTGGATGTTAACATGTAGAAGAAAGCAAATACATCCATATCTATCCCCATGCATAAAATTCAAATCAAAGACCTCAATATAAATCTAGTTACACTAAGCCTGATAGAAGAGAAAGTGTGAAATAGCCTTGAACACATTGGCACAGGAAACTATGTCATAAATATAACACCAGAAGCACAGACACTGAGAGCAACAATCAATAAATGGGACCTCCTGTAAATGAAAAGTGCTGTAAGGAAAGGAACATGGTAAATAAGACAAAATGGCAGCCTACTGAATGGGAAAAGATCATCACCAACCCCACATCTGACACAGGGCCAATCTCCAAAATATATAAAGATCTCCAATATATATCCAGATATCAAAATAGTAAATAAACCAATTAAAATGGTTTATTTTAAAATGGGATAGAGATCTAAACAGAAATTCTCAAAAGAAGAATCTCAAATGGCCAAAAGACATTTAAGGAATTGATCAATATCCTTAGTCATCAGGGAAATGCAACTCAAAACAATTCTAAGATACCATATTACACCTGTCAGAATGGCCAAGATCAAAAACACTGATGACAACTTATGTTAGAGATGATGTGGAGTATGGGGAACTTCTGTGGAAGCACATTCCACTCCTTCAGTCAATCATCCTTAAGATATCAGCCCACTTGAGTGTGGTCTCTGATACTGTAAATGCAGCTATAAAGCATGCAATCTCTCTCTTGCTTCCGATTCTCTTTTCCAGCTGCGGGATTTGGTTTCTGTTCCCTATTCCAGCAGAGAATTGTAATTTGTATATCTACCCCTAAATAAATAACCATCTATTATTCTCAATTCTGAACTAGTGTGGTATTTCTTTAAATGTCATTCTTTATCTGGGACCCAACCATTTGATTTTAGAATCCCCAGCTCTGAGTGTACACACGTCCTCCATCAGGCTTGCAGCAAGCCCTGCTTAGTGCAAGTCCTCCCTCAGCTCGCCTCAGCCATGGCCTGTGTGTGGAGCCAGTAGTTCATTTGGATATAGAATTCTCATGCAGCAGCTTTTCTTGCTACAGATTGGACACAGCTCTTTATATTTTCTCATTGCATGCCTTAGAGTGGCTTCAAGTCCCCTCACACCCCACTGCTTGCCTCCAGCCAGCGTGCACTGTGGAAACTCAGGTAAGAAGTAGGCTTCCCTGGTCTGAGCCAGTTGTTCTGCAGCTTCTAACAATTTGTCTGCATTTGCTATTCCACTGCTCTGGAGACATCCACAGAACACACAGTCTATGATTTATATTATATAACTATTCTTAATCTGAGCATATCTTTCTGCGTTTCACTCTACAATCAGATTCAGACCAGCCCTGCAATTCCAAGTGTGCCACTAAGCCTCCACTGTGTTTGTTGTGTAGGTGGCCTGCGATACCACCTACTGGAAAGTAAGAGTTATTGCACCTACTCCAGCTCAAAATCCAACCATAGGTAAGATTTATAATTTGAGATATAAATTATGAATTTANATCCAACCATAGGTAAGATTTATAATTTGAGATATAAATTATGAATTTATAATTTAAAAGGGCAATATGTTGGACAACCTAACCATCCAGGGTTTCAATAGCCTCTTTACTTACAACATATACAAGGTTTTACAAGACTTATATGATTTCCCTCCTACATCACTATTTTTGATTCTGGGGATTAATCTTGTCCTCAATATTTTTCCTTAAAAATATGGTTTGATAATAGAGCTAAGAATGAGGCCTTTTAGAAATGGTACAGTCTTTACAGACTGAAACCAAGCTTCTCAAAAAATAGGTTGGAACTTTGAAGAAGGATACAAACAATTTAACTAACAAAACTCAGTCAGTTGAGGTACTTTTAGAAATGGTACAGACAGATAGTGATTTATTAAGAGGAAAATTTAGCACTCTGGGGAAGGATTCAGCCGATTTGGTACATAAAACCCAGTCAATGACAATGGGGACTGAAACATTATTAGAGAGAATTTGTACTATGAATTATTTATCAGACTCTGTCGAAGGGGTATGACAGATTGACTGATAGAATGTCTTTCCGAGAAGGTAATATGCATGCTATGAAGATTATGTTCAAGGATGTGGCATTATCTCTACTGGACAGATGTCATACCTTGGAATCCTCAATAAGGGCATCAGAATAGAACACTGGACAAGAGACCCAGACTTTACAAAAGGCAGTGGTAAACAGATTTGGAAAGATTGAGGAACTTATCAAATTTGATAAAATGAGACAAAAGGTACAAAGACAAAAATTTAGCCTCATCAGTACATAAAAAAAACTCCAGGATAGCTTCCCCAGAGTTCTGCCTGTCTTTCCAGTAATAACATCAGAAAATGTATCTGGCCTCAAGTACCCTAAGGTTGTAAACGAATATACATGGGAGCCCATATGTATGACTGATCTAAAAGAAATTAAACAAGCAATTGTAGCTTATGGACTACATTTGTAATTTGTTAGGGAAATAGTCAAAATGTGGGCTTCAAGTAACAAAGCAATGCCACAAGACTGAACTCAGTCAATCTCAGCAGTCCTAGAAAATGGACCATAGTTGCTTTGGAGGTGCAATTTTAAGAAAGAAGCTAAAATTTTAGAGTAACAGGAAAAAGCAAAAGGTCTTGAAATTTCCCTAGATCAAATTCTAGGTGAAGGACCTTACTCTGATCCTCAGAATCAAGCTCTTTTTGATGAACACAACTTGTCCCTATGTAAAACAGCAGCTTTAAAGGCTTGGGACAGGATTCAGGAACTAGGAAAGAGAGCTGAATCTTATCTTAGGGTTAAACAGGATCAGAGAGAACATTTTAGTGACTTTTTTTTACAAAGACTAACTAAGGCTGTACAAATAGGGATAACTGACCCAGAAGCTAGACATATAATAATTAAATCTTTGGCTTATGAGAACGCCAACTTAGACTGCCAAAGGATCCTTGGGCCTTTAAAGATCAGATCAGCACCCATGGATGAATGGATCTTGCATACAATGTATGTTGAGACACTTGACTATGGTACTGAAGCTTGGGTAGGAGAAGCAATTTCCAATAGTAAGAGAAGACATCAAAATACCAAATGTTTTAATTGTGACAGAATGGGACATCTTAGAAGAGATTGTAGACAAGGGATTCCTAGGAATAATGTCTCCTCTGGGAATGGCAGGACTCAGACTTCAGGTATATGTAGGAGGTATGGCAAAGGTCAACATTGGACCAATGAATGTAAGTCAATGAAAGATAGACAAGGCAATCTGACACCATCAGGAAACACATAAGTGACTTTAAAGAACCTCTTAATATAGTTACTAATTTACAATATGCAGAAAGAGTTATCTTGAATATTGAAACCACTGGATTTATACCAGATAATACAGAATTGACTTCATTGTTTATTCAGGTGCAAGACAAAATCAGTAATAGGCTTTGTCTTATGTACATAACACACATCCAATCCCATACAGGTCTGCTAGGTCCTTTCGCACAAGGTAATGAAGAAATTGATCAATTATTGATTGGAAGTATGTTGCAGGCCTCCTGAATTTCATAAAATACATCATGTCAATAGCAAATGTTTAAAGAAAGAGTTTTCTATTACATGGCAACAAGCCAAGGAGATTATAAAGAGGTGTCCTACTTGTTCTTTCTATAATCAAACACTGTTGCCTGCAGGGAGTAACCCAAAGGGTACTCAAAGGAATGAAATATGGCAGATTATTGTATTCCACTTTACAGAATTTGGTAAATTAAAATATGTACACCACAACATAGACACATATTCAGGTTTTCAAAGGGCAATTGCCTTGAACTCAGAAAAGTCTGATTAGGTAATCACACATTTATTGGAAGTTATGGCCATCATGAGTATACCTGCACAAATAAAGACAGACAATGGTCCAGCATATGTATCTAAAAAAATGAAATGGTTTTTGCTAATTATAATATAAATCACATTACAGGTATACCAAATAATCCTAAAGATCAGGCAGTTATAGAAAGGTCAAATCGTACTATAAAGGATATACTGAACAAGCAGAAAGGGATGGAAAATACCCCCAGAAATAGATTGCATAATGATTTATTAACCTTGAATTTTCTTAATGCTAATGAGAAAAGAACAACAGCAGCAGAAAGGCATTGGATAATGGAAAAAAAAACTTCTGAATTGAATCAACAAGTATATTTCAAGGATGTGTTGACCTCACAATGGAAACCAGGAGATGTACTATGTTGGGGAAGGGGTTTTGCTCTTGTTTCTACAGGAGAAGAAAAATTGTGGATACCATCAAAATTAATAAAGATTCGCTTTGAAAAGGAGAAACCTATTGAAACAGAGAAATGACAGCTT